ACTTTTTATAGACATTATACTTCAGCTTTTTTCTTAATATAAATATTGAAAATAAATATAAACCCCAAGGATATAATTTTTGAAAAATGAGTAGTGATTCTTAAAGATTCCTTAGGTGAGATGGTTTCTCTTAATATTATCAGAGTATTGAAATATTTTTAGGGATTTTTCAATAAGGTTCCTGTTTATTCAAGTGTACTATTAATATAAATATGTTTTTAAAGAAAATTAATAAAATTAGTTTTTAAATTCAAATTTGTCAATTTTTTTATTATTAGGATTAAATTTTGGTTATCATATTTTATTATATGCATTATAATTTGAAGATAAATATGAGCAGCTAATGATAGGATTTATGAGAATTCCAAGATTCTTTAAAATTTCTTAGATGAGAAAGTTTTTGTTAATATTGTCAAAATATTAGAATATTTTTTAGAACTTTTCAATATGCAAGGTTCTTATTTATTTTTCAAAAATAAAAAAAATACTAAAAAATAAATATATTTTTTTTACAATAAAAAATTAGAAAAATTAAATTTTAAATACCAAAATTAAGACCATTTTAATCATAATTAATGGAAAACACAAAATTAATTAGCATTGTTTTAAACGGGTACTATGAGGGTGCTAATCTTTTCCTACACATAACTGACTTTCGAACCAAAACTGTTTTCAAACTTAAAAATTATCTTTTTGTTAAAGTTTTAATTAATTTTAAATTTTTTATTAAAAATGTAAGTTTTAATAGATAACCAATCACCACATAGTCAAAAAATTTGATGGCGATTCCTTTTTATTTTCAAATTCATCTAGTGACTTCAAACCCATCAAGACAAATGGTATTATTATCTATTATTGTTACAATAATAGAATGGTATCAATATCTACTCTTGTTACAATAACAAAATGGTTACGCACAGTATAATGATTTTTTATCAATAAACTATACAAATCTTATTACTATAATTTAATATTATATTTTCCCATCACATTTTGTTTGTTTGTGTTTGATATTTTGGTCAAATGAATTCAATTTTTACCTAATTTTTTAAAATATTATATTAAATTAAATTTTTAATAATTTTATTTTTGAATAATTTAAAATTTTTTAAAATTTTACAATGATTAAAAATTAAATTTGTTTGATAAAAAATTCAATAAGCGACAAACATAATAAGATTGTAATAGATAAATTAAAAGTTATAAACAAAATTTATAGAAATAAAATAAGGAGATATATCCATTTTCATCCATAAAAAATTTTAGCATAAACACCCATGATTTATTATACACATATATAAGTTCACTATCCAATATATATATATATATATATATATATATATAAGTCCAAATTAACATATTAGAAATGGTAGCTTAGTAGTTACTACTACATACTGCAAAAGCCAATCAATAAAATATATGATTAGAAAGGTCATGCATTTTAGATTGAATGCTTATTTTCTCTTCTCCTTTTTTCTTACCAAGCCATGAGAAATGAAAATGGTTAGCTTGAATAAGAATAGAAGCTACTTATCCTATATATCTTAACAATTAAATTTCCACTTGCATTAGAATCTAAGACCATACCCCTTACAATCTCGGTACCACTTGTTAAAACATAGTCAATGGCCGTTTATTTATGTCTTGTGATGAGAATCTCAATCAATAGCTGCCAAGTATGCCCCCTTTAAAACTTCCCTCTACTTTGAACATTGATTATTGAATTACAAATGTACTTACTAAGTAAAACCACAATACATTTGTGAAATTTTCAAGAAACTTCATTACCAATGCTTGTTTTTGTTGGGATTTATTAAGTGGAAACGAATTTTATAATAAAATCAATACAAAATAAACTACACACAAAAGATTATAAAGAGAGAGAAAATTCACAAATGAGAGAAAAAATCCACTATTAACATAAAAATTATAAAAAGTACAAAACATTTTAAATTAACACTAATCTCGAGCTCTAAAACAATCATAATAGTTTGCATACTTTTTAGTATATTTCCTATGAAATATCTTTTATCCCATACAACTGGTATTTTATTGAACAAATTCTTTCTCACATCCTTACAAATTTATCTCCTATATAGAGATCACATATGATTATAACTTTATCTTATAATTCTAAAGGCTAAGACTCGTTACATATTTATAAAGCCTCATACATGATCACCAAGAATTCCTGTTTACTTACCCATTAAAAATATTTATTTTTAAATAAACTCAATTACCAAGTAATTCTCTAACTAATAAAATTTCACTAAAATTCAAATTAATTCTAATTATAATTTGAGTCAATGTTGTAGACACCTAATTTTGTCTGAGTGAATTGAAACTGATTATGTTTTCTATACTTGATTTTAGTTCATTTTAAACATTTTAATTGATTTTGTCCTATTAAGCCATTTGGGCTCAAGTGCACTTGGTTGTCCGATTCAATCCAATTCAATTTGTGTAAGTCATTTGGGCCTAAAAGCCCACAACCTAAATCAATTGGGTTTAAAAGCCCAAACTTCATTTCCAATTTAAGGTCCATATTCTTTTAATCAGAATTAATTAGTTAGTTTAATAAAAAAATTAATTAAAAAATAAAAAATCAACATAAAAAGGAAAATATCAAATAGGTACTGTATACAACACCAATCAGCCACACCTTAACCTCTGCCACAATCACGTTATAGCCACCATGCCAAATAAATTTCAATTGCCAGCAACCTTGCTTTTACCCTACTACTCTCAGTTTACCATGATCCCTTACCTGTCTTCTAAGTACCTCTCGAAGTATTCTAAAACCCTTCATAAGCTTGCAAAATCAAGACACGAGAGGGCCATTTTTTTGGAGAAGTAAAAAATCCTAGATATTGTTAGGATTTGATTGAATTTGAGTCAATGTGGAGATTGTTGTGATTGACTTAAATATCATAAGAGATTTGTTTGCAATTTTTTCAAAGATGGTTAGATGTTACTTTATGGATAAGAAGACTTGCAAAAAAAAATTTTAAGAGAAAAAATATTCTAGATAAGCAAGTTATTGTACTTATAAATAGTGAAGTCTCTATAAGGTTAGGTAAAAAAAAAGATATGAAAGAGTTGTAAGGTTTTATAGGATAAACACCTTATAGAACTAGAAAAGATTGAAATGGTTTTTGTAGTTGTGTATATTTAAACATTTATAATAGACTAGAAAAGAATGAGAGGTTACACATGGCTATGCTTGATTGTTTTGTTTAGGTAGATTAGATGAGACGGAGATGGCTCATAAAGGTATAATAAGCGACATAGGTATGTATTTATTTAGATTAATAATACTCCATAGGATTAGACGAGAATGAAAAAGTCCATTGGTATTGACTGTTAGTAAGTGTTGATTGTTTTGGTGTATTTGTAATTCTCTAATGGATCTTATTTCTTATTCGTAAATGTAGCTTGGTTGGATTAAACTACATTAAATTATTATTTTTTTTGCATGATTGATTGATTGTTTGATGATGTTTCTGTTGGTTTTGATGTTTTTGTTGGTTTTGATGTTTAATTGAATTGTGGATTTTTTGCTTAATAAAAATATCAAAGCTGTCATGATCTTAAAAACTGGTATCAAAACTATGATCGAAACTTGTGGATGGGATTCCTAGCACTCTTACCTTATCCACATTAATGAAATGAACAATCAAATGTAATTAGAGAAGGTTGTTTTATTTACCCCATATCATCTCTTATTCAAAACAATTTGTTAAAGATATTTTTGGATTTAATGATAACAAGACTTACCAAAGATTCAATTGGTAAACTGTCAGATATGTAAAAAAAAAAAAAGTAAAAAGACATCAAAATTAAAACTCCGAGCACACTCTAATACCTAAATCAATTAAATATATGAGAGAATGTAAGAGAGCAAGTAAAGGGAGAGAAGAATGGAGCAGTAGAGAGTTGAGTGATTTGTCTAATCTTGTTCTTACCAACTCGCTTTTATTCTATTGATGGTGTTGTGACTGTCAGCATAGATGTCTGTTTACGTTAAGGCCATGTGTACAAATACGTGCAAACCATGAGTGAATGTTGATGATGTAGCCACCAAAATATAACACAACCATTCATCTAATTTTTTCTTTCAAAAAACAAAAAACACAAAACATTCGTCCTTAGTCTATATAGATAATACAATATTAACCTCGTCCTCTTTGGGTTGGCCTCTTTTGTATGTTTATGGTAACGAAAACTCAAGAATCTGTGTTTTTCCTTAAAGCTTTCAAGTTGAAAGGTCAAACTTGCTTTCTCTCCTCTCATTATTATATGTCAATATTATACTTTTAAAATTTTCTTTGGCTATATATGTCCTTATATTTCTCATATGTTGTCAAAAATTAAGTTCACAAATATTTATGCGCGTATAGAACTGCTGCATCTGCAATTCAACTTTTTGTCTGGACTCAAGGATCTATATATAATAATTTTAGGACATTTTTTTCTATATATTATTATATCCGATACCAATAAGAGATTAATTTAATTGATAATGATTATTCACTTTCATGCAAAGATTTTAAATTTGAGTTTAACTGATGATTTCTTGTTAAATTCATCTTGTATGCATAAGCCAACCATTGTTCTTAAGATATCGAGCTTAGCACATCTTGTTTTCACTTAAGGGACTGAACAATGGTACATCTTGTCTTCAACTAAGAGTCTAAATAAAGCACATCTTGTATTGTCTTAAAAATTAAACAACTTATCTACCCCTTAGATTTTTTCTTACCAAAAATCAATTATATTTGATACACCATATTTAAAATTTAGTTCTGTACTTCATGCACAATGTGTCCTTGGTGCATATTTGCGAATCAATCTTACATGATCGATCTGCTGTCCTGGATTAAGAACCCTCCACACCAACCATGCTCAACGCCTCAACCCCAATACTTCTCGGCAAGATTGAACAAAAGATTGCAGAAATGAACAAATACCTATGTCAGTAGCCAAAAGTCCAACAACACTAATAAAAGGTGAAAATGATTAAAAACTTCTCGGTTTCATTTATAACAAGAAAAGCAGACTGATACTTTTTTGACGGTTCAAGTATATTTCTATGGAACACAATGTCTTACTATAATCAGAACAAAATCATTTCAACAGAACGTCAGTGCTGAAATGAACCTACCATATCGAATCACCTTTTTTTCTTGCGTGATAGGGCGTTCTTAGTTTTTACCCACTCTTTCAATGAAGCAGAGCTTCTCATAAATGAACAAGTTTCGCCTATTCTAGTATCTATACCAAAGCCTCTGTTTGGTTCTGGGTTGCATATATTCTCAACTGCTGGGAAGGAAGCATCCTTCTTGTCTTCAACAGTTTGATGGTTGTTTTCTGGAATACTCTGTACAAAGTCTCCTTCCTTTCTAACACCTAAAGCTGTAGAAGCATCTAATTTAGGCTCAGTCTTATGCCATTCCATTATATTGCCATCGGTGGAGTGCACCACATCCTCACGGATGGGCTTTGAAAGCTCTTGTATTGTAGTGCCTGGCAAAATTTCTGAGATACTAAAAGAATTGGTCTTATCACTTACCAATTGCATCCATGAGGACTTGTGGAGCCATGAAGAGCCTCTTCCTGAATTATTCGAAGCTGAGTTAGGTAGGTTTCCCTGAGCTTCTGCTAGCACATTCGCTATTTCTGTATTGCCAGACATGCCATCCAAGTTCTTAGATGTTGCCAACTTCTCATTCTTGCAATCAGGAGTGCTGTTCACATTGGGACCATCAGAAATGAGTTGTTTTTCCTTGGTAGTATCAACATTTTGCAGAATATCGGAGAGACTGAATGCACTATTGCTTCTATCTCCAACAAGTGCCCTCCATGAAGACTTTTGAGACCATGAACAACTATTACTCGACCGTTTGAGACTACTTTCTTGTCCGGTGGTTTGAACAACAAGGGATCCACTTGATTGGGTTTGAAAATTTCCCCTTTCTGCAGGTAAAGTAGAGACAACTTCATTTCCATCCCTTTCTTCAGCAAAAAATGGTTTCATCTTCTTTTTAGGAAGTAAAAGATCTTTTTCCTCTTTGAGCTCATTCTCAGTTGATCCATCTTCAGAAGTTTGTGTCTCACTGGATTTAAACTTATATACGCATCATGAAAGAAAAATATTGAAATTAGGACCTTATAGTACAAAGATACATAATGCTAGTAGCATATAAGAACATAAACAACTAAGAACCAATTGAATGAGAAGATATACCTGTTTAGATAATACCTTAGCATGCTTCGTGCTTCCTGACACAGGCATTACTTTGTTTGCCATGGACATAACATTAGTTATGACGTTGTCTTCATCCGTTTCATTTTCCTCAAAGTCAGCTTCACTCTCATTGAACTGTGAATTCCTCCTCTGTTTAGGTGAAACAGAAGCAAGTTCATGTTTATCTTCTTTGTTAGGAAGTGGTTTCCTCTTCTTTTTTGGATGCAAAGTATTCCTTTTACGCACCTTGCCTTCACTCTGAATTGCTCCATCCTTAGAAATTTGGTTTTTACCAAGTCTAGTTTTCTATGTGTTGAATACAGGAAGAGAAATAAATTAAGTACAAGGATAACAAACATGAATAGACCCTGAAAAACAAAGAGTTATGCAGTAATTGAACATGATATTGTACCTCAGAGGAGATTTTGTCCTGATCCCTGTTCTCAGACATAGATGCTCGATTATTTAAAATAGAAACAACATTAATTATGATGTCATCATCATCATCTTCCTCCTCGTTAGACAGTGAATCCTCAACTGGTTTGATGAAATTGTCTCTTTCCTTAGCTAGGACAGCCCTGCTAGTGTCAGAAACATTTCCCCTCTCAAAGAGCTTGTTCATTACAGAGGTCATCATACTAAGCTCTTTCTCATTCATGGCACAGTTTATTTCTTCGTGTTGTTGAACTTCGTTTTCATTTTGTTTCACAGCATTAAACTGACCAGAATGCTCTTCACAATCACAAAAATGGATGGGGAGGGCAGGGGTTTCGACACGTTGGAAACTGTATCTATGCTTTCCAGTCCCACTGAGTGGCAATGATTTGACCTTACAACATATAGTCACTCATGATTTGGATATGGTTTCAGTTGAAGGTAACAATTCCAAATATATATATATATATATATACATATAAAAACTAATTTTGGTTAGGAAATAACATAGGGCTATTTTAGTATTGTTGCTGCCGTTATTAAAAGTTTGGGTCGGAAAAAGCATATTTAAAGAGTACAGTGAAAATGTTGATTAAAATTTTCAAGTATTTGACATTGTAAAAAACAAGTATTGTGCGTAATTACAATCTTTAAAATGATATAAAGTATCAGATAATCCAATGATTTTCTAACCCAACACTTTTTTTTTTTTTTGGGGGGGGGGGGGGCTTGAAAACAGAACTTTTGAAATCATCAGCTACTGTAATACTAAATTAGGTCATAGACAACAGACTTTAGAAAGACACTTGCAATACAAGGTTGACATTGGCAAACAAATCCAACTAAATGAAACAGCAATCTCACCTTCAATAATCTAGGAAAGAAAATCCGAATATGGTTATTTTGGGAAACGTAAGCCTTGGTTTTGTTGTTGGGGTTATCTGAAGAAGATGGCATGGGTTGATGGCGTGCTTCTTCTGCTTCTGCTTCTGCCTCTGCCCATTCCCGTTTCAAGCGGGTAAGAAAGTGCTCTTTGGCCTTTTCCAGCTTCAGCTTACCTCCTTTCCACACGCATCCGTTATACTATATAATTGCGAAACAAACCCAAACTACAAATTTAAACCGTTAAGAAAAGAAGAAAAGCCTTAACCTAAAATTTTAGGAAGATTGCTCACCGTGCTAAAAAGCTTGGAGAGGGAGTTGGAGGAAGATGGGAGGACGTCCACGTATGCGAAGCTGCGGCCTTTGGTCCTAACGATTTCCAATCTTTCCACCGTTCCCACGTTGGAGAGAATCTTCAGGAGATCATCGCTGCTAACGCTCTGCCCCAAACCTCCTACATGTATTTTTGTTCTAGTTGTGGCTGCCATCTGTGTCTCGTTCCAAAGTTTCTCCCCCAGGCTACTACTCTAATAAAAGACTCCTTGGGTTTTTCTAGGCTGGGACTGGGAGGGCCTCAGCCTCAAAATCTTATATTGGGCTCTTTTATTATTTTTGATCCATGAAAGCCCATTTTCGGGTTTGAGCTCTTTTGGGTTCTGCAAATTGCAATACATTCACAAACGCACAAGAATTTTGCTTGCACTCTCAAACCCTAGCAGAAGCTTGTAGAAAGTTGAAAGAATTTTGGTTCAAGTGATTTGTATCTTCATTCACACAATAATGACACATTCAAATGCATTATAAGAAAGAGCCTTGCAGAAATTTTCAGCTCACCTGTCCAATGTTTAAAAAAAACGGGGCTTTATTTTTCGCAAATTACATGCTTTTGATCGTTTATGGGGAAATGGAGATTGACGATTAATTAGACCAACATCTGTCTAGGAGAATATAGAATAAGTTGGAATCCCTCTTAGTTTCAAGAGAAGAACAAACACTACTGCGGTGGGCGAAATTCAGCAACGTTGATTTTGAATGGTATCCATAGGACGTAGGTTTAGCATTTGTTTAACCGTGTTTGACCAAATCCATATATGGTGGGACTCCAACCTCTTTGTTTAACCGTGCTCTTCAGGCAAAACTTGAAGCTGAATTTTTCCAACACAAGGGAATGAATAAACTCTAAACAATTGCTCCCATATTTCTTTGCTGCAATTTTCTTTCTCATGTACAATTTTCCTTAATTCCAATGGAATTTTTGGCATCTTAAAAGACCCACAATGCACTTTTCAATTTCTTTCATCCTGCTTGGATACATGAGTGACATCTCTTATGATTCTCCCAGCCTTTTGAACGACTGAACCGAGATATTGAAAATGCTCACTTTGCGATATGATTCTTTAATCAAGTAACTGCTCCATCACACATGTCTTTATATCTTGAATGTTAGTAGTTTAAACGCCCTTCTTTTCCAAGCCCTCCACATCATTTCTCTAGTGACTCTATTTTAAGTTTTTTTCCCCTGAATTAATGAATATACTGGTTATTGTGAGGTGTCCCTACAAAACCTGACATAGAATTAGATTTTTATTAGTAACACTAGTCTCATTTTTAATCTTTGTTTGATCATCCTCCCCATAATTTCACCACATAGCCCTTCAACTTGATACCTCTGTAATTAGCACAATTTTGTATGTCTGCTTCATTTTTGTACAGTGGTATTAAAATGCTCATTCTCTGCTCATCTGACATCTTTTTGGTTCTTAGAACCTTATCGAACAAGTTTATAAAGCCTAAGATATTCTTTTCCATGCTTCAACAGGGATGTCATCTAGTCCAATTGTTTTCTACTGATCTTCATCATTTTCAAAGCTTTCCTTACTTTTTTTTTTTTTTGTTTTTTATCCTGCTGATAAAAAATTGTATTTTTATGAAAATTCTGTCGGTAAAAATCATTTTTCTGGTAATAGTTCGACTAAGCCAATTGAGCGTGTTAATAGAACACAAACTTAAATCTTTATTCAAATAATGTCTCTAACAGCCTCAATTGATTTGTCTATTAATGTCCCCATATTGCAAGTCCCAAATTATAGCTTATTGTCTTGGGTTAACTTCATTATATGCACTTGTCCATCAAAATATTAAAATCCTTGCTCATTTTTTCACTAACCGTAGAGCTATTACAGCCTCACTGTATTTAAGCAACAATGCATCACTAATAGGAAATGTCCTAGTATTAGCATAGTTTCTAATAGTGTTAGGAATAATGACTCAAATTTTATAGAAGATCTGTTTGAGATTTGTTAGAAATTTTTTTGGGATTGGCCAGATATTGCTTGATGGACAAAAAGACCTGCAAAAGAAAAATTCTAAGAGAAAGAAGATTCTTAATAGGTAAGTTTGACTTGCAAGAGAAAAATGTTTAAGAGAAAAGAGATTCTTAATAGACAAGTTTGACTTACGGAAGCAGAATTCTAAGAGGAAAGGGATTCTAAATAGGCAAGTTTGTCTAGTTATAAATATGTGAAGTTTCTGTAGGGTTAGATATAAGAAAAAGATGTAAGAGAGTTGTAGGATTTTGTGGGATAGACACTCTGTAGGAATACTGAGTATGTATATTTGTTTGTGAGTGGACTAGAGGAAACTGAGAGGATCCACATAGGTATGATGTATGGGTGCATATGGGTATGTGTTTGATTGTATTGAAAAGGTGCACATAGGTATGTATTTATTTGGATTGAGAATACTTCATAGGACTAAAGGAGATTGAGAGGGTCTATGGGTATTGAATATTAAGTAATTGGTATGTTATGATGCATGTTTGTAATTCTCTACAACTAGTGGATCTTGTTTCTCATCCGTGGACGTAGTCGATTAGACCAAACTATATTAAATTACTGTCTCTTATGTGATTGATTGATTGTTTGATTCTACTTTCGCTGGTGTAATTGGATTGAGGCTTTTTGGCCTGACAAAGAGTTCGTTGTTATAAAGATATGAAAAAATTTTATGCTAGCTATCAACTACATTATACAGCCCTCCTTGTTTATGCAGTATTGAGACATGACAACTAATTCTACTTATCCAAAAAAAGATAACTAATTCTAGCTATAAATACATATAATTCTTACCAAGCACATTAGCATTGGTAAAATTAATTTAAAAGCCTAAAATTAAGGTCATGCCTCAATCATAGCTAGGTTAGTAATGAGTGATCTTTGAATTTGAACCAAGTTTATCATGGTAAATGGGACTATTAAACGACTCTTGCATCATTTCTCACTTTGTTATTTGTTCACTCATAATATATCTAGTACAATGACTTGCACTTTTCTTTATTTCTTTCCCTTGTCCATTAGGAAATATCAATTGGAAAATTACCCACATAAGATAATTTTCATTGACAATTTTGCTTATGAAAATCATCACAAATGTAATAAACTTTAACTTGTTTAGTAAAACTAGCAGGGTCATATGGTAAACCAATATTAATTAGATTCAATACTTGAGCAATCACGCATATGATGAGCATCAAAAACTTCTTTTCAAAATCTTAAGAAACTGTAGTGCATTAATTTTTCTCTTTGATACCATTGTCATTATCATCAAAGTATATATAACAGATTGCTGGATTATTTTATTATATTAAACTATCTTCTTCAACTTAGAAGTTTAAAATCATTTTTGTTAAGTTTCTGTAGTTTTCTTATGAATTCTTCCTTTGACATTCTGGATGATAATAGTTGTTGAGAAATCCACGTGAATTGTTCTTCACTTTTACTATTTTGCAATCCAGTTGCAAAATCTTGGACCATCTTTCTCTCTTGTATCTAGAAATAAAGTAAAAAAACATCATCAAACATGGTGTGCTTTTGGGTGCTAAATTTTGCAATCACTAATCCTTTAAAGTTAAAACAACATCATGAATAAGAAAACAAAAACAGAAGGCTAACTTTATTATAAATTTATAATCAAGAATAGAGAATTTAATACAATATCTTGACTTTCTCATTTTTCAGGATAATTGGTATAGAACCCCTAACCGTTTGTAACCGATTTTTCTCCCTTAAATATCTCAGTTCCTAACCATGAACTTGAGCTTAAGTATATTTAATTAAAAATACAAAAAATAGATCTTTTTTCTAATATTTGCAGCTAAATCAATAAGTTTAAAGGTTCTGATGCCTTGATCAATTAGCATTTTTTTAGTTTTTTTTTCTTGTATAAAAGTATCTTGATGAAATATTAACTTTTGCATTTATATAATCTTTATCTCTATATATTATTTGTCTAAATTATGCACCAGTATTAGATTCCTCACTAAGCCTTTAATATTGACCTTTCATCCTTTAGCTATCATTATGGTGCAAGGCGCAAATTTCTTCATATGATTCAGCAACACCCAAAGTCTGATGTCTTTGGATTTGGCACTCAAGCTATCTCCCACTTTTGGGTTTGGTGTTCAGAGCAATATTCCTTCAAAAGGATCCAATGATTTTGGAAATAAATAGAACTAGTTTGTTGGTGATCATGAGAGCTCTGATACCACTTATTGAGAAATCAACATGCACACACAATACTCATGAACAAAATAACAAGCTTAAATTAAGAATAAAAACACACAAATATATTTGTTTCAGCCTAACTTAAAATGACCTACTCTAAACCTTATCCACTAACAAATAAATCTTTACAACTGTGAGACTTTTAGAATAAGAAAAGTTTCCAAAAACTCCTTACTCAAAACTTAACCCATAACCCAATTACACCCATTTAATAGCCTACTCACCTAGATATTCTTTTGGTGTCTAACTATCTAAGATTATCAAACCAAAACCAAAACATCTTATTTATAAGGGTGAAACAACTTATACATTTACTAAACGTTCAATGTAGGATACAAGACAAACTCAAAACTCTTGTAACTTTTGATGTGAGATTCTGAGATTAAAGACAAATCCTAACAAATCTTTTCTTGACTTGAATCTTCAAATACTTCAACAGTATCTATAAAGTTAACACGCTTACCTTTTTTTTTTCTTTCATCATAGGGATCCTAGCAACCGAGCCTTCATCAAGCATGTACAAGTGATTTTTGACTCTATTCTCTTATAGAATCACACTATCATTCTTGTACACTTTCAACCAATCATTACTACTATAATATGTGTACCTCTGAGAAGCTAACTCACCTAAAGCAATCAAATTATAGCTACAACTAGGTACATACCTTACATGACGAAGTGTCCTAACAACACTATTGTGAGATTTAAGGTGAACACTCGTAATACCTTGAATCTACACTTTTTTGTTGTTAGCAACCACAATATCCTTATATTTTTCATTCTCATCCAACTCCACAAAATAACTACTAGCATTGTAGATATGAACTGTAGCAATGAATCTAAAACCCAACTTTTATCACTTTTTAAAGTCTGAGTCTTATCCATATAAGTTGTCAAAATTATATCATCATCATCAGACACAATAGCAGTAGTATCACTCTTTCCTTCATCTGATTTTTTTTCATCATTCGTCATTTTGAAAGTAACCATATCCCTTCTCAGCTTCTTATAGCACACTAGGATATG